AATTTGGAAGCTGAAAATCAGATTGATCCATGTGATCACTTACCTTGCTTTGATATGGTTTTGTAGCCTTAATCACCACGTCAATTTGATCATGCTTTTGATCATGGGTAATGATGCTTACGTGTGGCTTGTTACATCTGGTTGTGTGCTCCTCTTTAAGTCCTAGACCTGTATCAAATCCTTTTGGCAAAGACAAGTGTATCATACTAGAATTGGATGCAAAAGAATCTAGTTTAACCATTGACTACTTTCAACCTTTGATCCAACCGATGTAGAGTTTACTACTTGTCTGGTTGGGCATTCCTTAGCACGATGTCCTATATTTTGACACCTATAGCAGATTGTGTCAATTGAATTTAAAGGGCTAGAAGACTTACCTTGGTGCGTTCCTTGCGGTTCAAACAATGTTGTCGAACTAGGTGTTGGAGATTGAGTTGTAGCTTGGGGACGTTTCTTTGCTTTCTTGAAATTCACGTGGCTCTTCTTATGCTCTGTTTTCACTCCCTTTGATGGCCAAGAACCATCTATCCTCAGCCTAGACGTTGCTTGTTCTACTTGGGGCTGAAACAACGTTGATGTGATTGAATCTTGTTGAACCGTCTTTATGTGAACTGTTTGCTCAGCCTGTGTATGCTATTCCAAAGTGTTTGAGAAAACCCTGTTAGACTCAAAATGGTAAGCATACTTGTGCTCACGAAAGGGTTGTAGTGTTGGCGTTAACTTCACTTTCTTTGATGTTGTTTGGTACATTGGTTTTCGAGGGATGTTGTGGCTTTGGTGGCAGGGATCCCTAACCGGGCTTGTGAGAATACCCTAGTGCGAATCTCTTCCTCATATGTAACTTCATCCTATCCCAAGAAGTGATGGGTGTTTGCTTTTAAGTTCTTCGCATCTTGTTGACATAATCCCACCAATATCTTGCTTCTCCTTTTAGCTATTGAATCGCGGTAGTGAACTTCCTTTGATCCGTGTAATTGTAGGAAACAAATAATTCTTCCATCAGTTCTTGCCACTTGAAATAAGCTTTGGCATCTTTTCGTCCATAGAACTCATACCCTTGTTGTTCCCACGCTTCAGTTCTCTGTGGTGTTCTCCTTATTGGTGCAGCTAGAAAATGGTGAGTTTCTCCTTCTCTTTTGTTCCAAGTCTGATGGTTAGTGACGCCTTTGTAATGGTCTGCTTCATCTTCGAAATTAGAGTTTGAGTACTCATCTCCAGGCCATGGTGGTGCTTTATAGTCAGCCTCCTCATCGAACCAACTCTGGCTTGGTTTTTGACACTTGGATTTATAGGGGTTGGATGCGTATAAGCCTTCTTCATCTTCATAATAATTTCTCATGGTATTTCCTCTGTTTTCCTTGGGAAAAGATCTCATAAAATGAAAAGATAAGAAATTTATGGAAATTTCTTTTTGTCTTTTTTTTAGTTAAATATGGAACTTATAAACTCAAAGAAAGAAGTAAAATTTTTATTTTTCTTTTAGAAATTTATTCAAATTAAATTCGAAAATAAACAAAAAATTCAATATAAATCGAGGCGATGAAACGGTCATTTTTTAAAAACGGTGACGGCATCCTCCGGCGAATAGAGCAGATCTGGCGATGGAATCGTGCCGGAGGTCATCAGGTGAACGGGAGGCGTGGTTTCGCTGAGGCATCGGCTCCATTTTTTGGTTTGGAGCATAAAACGTTGGTTTTGGCGGATCTCGACACGGATCCAAGCATTATCACTGGTAAGATCCATTGGGATCTACCTTTCGATGGCGGAATCAAGGATTGGAGGCGATTCCATCATTCAATTCGGATTTCGAAATCAACACAAATCATTCAACTAGAGCATATCACGGGAACATTTGGCATTCAATCAGGGATTCCAATCAAGTGAATCAAGGCCACAAGGGAGAGCGAAGCTCGAGATTTGGGGATTCATCACCATTATATATGCTACTAGGGCATACTTACCCAACTTTCAGCATCCTTCGCACCTCTCTGTACTGCGACTGAGTATTGTCTTTCTCCCATACCCACACTAATGGCTTTCTTTGGGAAATTGGTTGCACCACATCGTGAGAATCGAAGATCCAACTCTCTGCAACTCCCCTCCCATCAACAACGAGAAGGTCTTGAAACGTTTTGAGCGGACACTGGTGGGACGAGTCTTGAATGTTGAATTGCCGGAGAGTCGCGTGAACATGGGATTGAGATGGGCAGAGGAAGCTTTCACTTTCGGTTTGAGGAGGAATCTGTCCTCCAAACTGTCCTTGATAACCGACCGTACCATTTCAATGGATGGATGATTGCACTGGAACGATGGGTTCCTACGGTGCGAATGGATTTTCCTTCCTCAATTCCTTTTTGGGTCAAGATCATGGATCTTCCGTCCCAATACCATGAGGATGAACAAGTGGAGAAGATAGGTGAGGACTTGGGAGAGATTATGAAGTGGAAGATAGTTAAACCTTTCCCAATGGTTCGTGTGATGGTAGAATGAGATGCTCCCCTCATTCTCTTTCGGGAGACGGTATCGGATACCGGTGAGCTTTTTCGAATCAAATTTGATTACATGAAGCTCCAAAATTACTGCAAGAGATGCTTGCGTATGTCCCATGACACAAGAATGTGTCCAGTCCGAGGCGGAAATCAACAGGTCCGAAGAGATGCTTCCCGACAATACGAAGCAGTTTAGGATAAGAAACGACAACGTGCGTCTAAAGAGGAAGTATCGAAGCCACGGGAGCCTACAGAGGACCATAACAAGAGCCAGGACGGGCGCACGATGGACCTGGCATCATCATCCAAACGGAGACCAGTCCGTCGAGACTTGATGTCTGAACTTGGCGAGGCTCGGAAGAGTGCAGATGTGAGGAAACCGACCAAGCCATCGACGCATGAATGGGTTCGAAAAGCTTTTGGGAAAGGATTCTCCCGTCGGGAGGAGAAAGGAATCGGCGAGAAGAAGGACACACAGATGAGCTCGTCGGAGAAGGAAGCTCCTGGGAACAGAGCGCCATGGTACAAAGTCTCCGAAAAAGATGCGGCGGTGGCTAAAGAAATCTATGCCCAGAATGATAAATGGGTTCGAACCGAAGAAGACCAGAGGAGACGACGAGAGATGACGGACACGACGGAGATGGAGCCGAAGCGAGTCTCCGATAAGAAGCCAGAGGCGGAGCAACGACGGAACTCCGACCAGGCTGTGCCCCCAAAAGCCGCGGCGGAGAGTCTTAAGCCGACGAGGAGAAATTGTGTTGAGACTAAGGGTAATGGGCTGGAGATACAAAAAGCCCAAGAAGGGATCATGTTGGGCCTTCAAACTAATCTTGATGCTAAGGAAGTGATGTCCCCTCTCAAAGAATTTGTGGTCAAAGCCAAGCAGGACATGAGGAACGGGCCACGAGGTGGGCCTAGGATTCTGAATAAAGAGCCAAGAAGGATTAAAAAGAGAATTAGTAAGGCCCTTGGGGTTAAGAAAAAGATTGAACACAGCTCGTTTAGGGGGTGTCATATTCACAAGCATGCGTCCTTAGCAAGGGAGGATCCAGTGATTGGAGATTATGCATTGAACGGGAATGTTTTTCCGTCATCTTCGAAGACGGGTCCAGAAGGTGGACAAACTTCGAAGAAATTCAAAGATCCGGTGGTTATGGGAAAACCACCGGCAGGCGCTTAAATGATCTTAAGT